GGCTTAAATCGCAAGGGATTTTGAGTTATGGTGAAAAATATATGGATCGGTGTAGGCATTGCATCTCACATTTTGGGTTGCATGAGATCATTATGATGATCCAAACCTGTACAAACACATCTTAAGAACAATTTAATGGAATTAGTATGGCTTAAATCAAACCAAAAATTAAGATATGAATTTTGTGAAAATTATGAAATCAGAGATGAATACATGAAGTGGTTGTTTTGTAGTGAAAGGGCTTGTGATAAGGGTTTGAAGATCCTTAGGATTCTTTGAAAAAATTTGAAGTTTTTTGACAAGTTTCTTTCGGCAAGGTTTCATGTCTATTTGTATGAGAATGAATGGGAATATATAGGACAAATTAGGTCAAAGATATGAGCTTGGTATTTGTGTAAGAAAGACCTATATTTTATCTTATTTATTTTTTGAAATATTAATGAATAAATCAAAATAATTAAAGTAAAAATAGGTCAAGGGGTGCATGAAAAATATTTGAGGTGTATAAGGAGTATAGAGCACGTTTGAACTCTGAAACAATGGCCCAATAGCCCAAAATATCAAGTTTGCCCAATTTGAACTTCATGCATTTGCTCAAAGTTTTCCAACTTGCACTCGTCATAACTCTCTCAATTTTTATCTTTTGAAGGTGATCATTGACTTTTTGGAAATCTCAATATGTTCTCTACAATCACTATTTTTATCATTTTTGTATTTGGAGAATTTATCTTGATGTAAGTTGCCTTGACAAAAGGTGTCTTTTTGTTGACTTTTGAAATGACATGTAATGTATTGGCCCATATCTCTCAAATGAAGCATTTTTTGGACTTGATCTTAGAGAGACTAAGTGGTATAGAATTGAATTTCCTTAAAAATTAGCCTTGGTTAGGGAAAAACTAATGAAGCATGTGAAATTTATTCTTGGTCAAAGTTCAATTGACTTCTCATAAGGAAACCCTAATTTGGCAACTTTTGACTTTTGATTATTTGAGGGATTTTCTTGAGGAATCATGATCAAACCTTGATCAAATGATAAATATGACTTCAAAATGTTGATGTTGACCAAAAATATTGAAGTTTGACGGCATGTTGACCACATTTGACTTTTTACCCAATACAATTGATTTTCAGTCATTTGAACCATTGACTGAGCAAACTTGTGATGCAAGGCTTGAAACTTGGTAAGAGCATTCTTGGAGACATATAAGAGACCATGAATTCCATTTAAGACCTTTGAAACCCAAACTTCCTGGTGAAAAGTGAAACCCTAGACGTGGATCCATTGCTTAGGAGGAGAATTTGTATGATCAATTCTTGAGCAACCTTGAGCATTTGGGAACCCTAGGAGGATGTCTTGAATAAAAATGAGAGGGAAATTTTTTGGGTACAACACTAAAGATAACTAGAATTGAAATTATATGACTTATCTAAAGTAGACTTGGAAGAAATGTAACTTTGAATACCAGTAGGAATAAACAAGCTCTTATTCATGTCGTTTGAGCTTGATAGCTCCAAGGACAACTTGGGAAAGCAATATAACTCATTATCATCCAGAAATCCCTCAATAAGAACTTTTTTAGAAGTATGAGGTTAACACAACATTTATCATACAAAAATTCAAAGATAACATTATTATCATTAGAGAGCTTTAAAACTAATAAAAGATTTCTTGTAATAGAAAGCACTTGCTAGACAATGTATATAGTTAAATTCTAATAAGGAAAAACTTAGAATAAATATAGGTTGAACCGACATATTTTATTGAAAGAGTTTGACCATTTCCAACATAAACTTTGTTAAATCCTACATATGACATTTTTTATTTGTAAATAATAGTTATTAAGAGTGACATGGTGAAAGACACCTGAGTCTGCAAACCAGGCTTGGGACTTTAACTCAGATGGCAGGGAATACTCTTGAGTGTAGGCACAAGGTTGACTTGTGATAGCTATGATAACCATGACTTTAGAGCTTTAAGTATATTTTTGAGGATGCTCTTGATTTTGAGTATAACTGCTTGTAGGACTAGGCTGAGAATTGGATGACTGTAAAGCATAAATGATTCACCAAATCTATGCTAATAGCCAGTGGAAGATTGTCCATATTTTCAACATAGCTGGCATGTTGAACGATTACCAATTATATAACGACCTCTTGCATGACCACGAACTCAAGTGAAACGCTTGTCCCTACCATGATTACCTGAAAAAGCTCCTCTAGAACTGATTATTTATTGGCTTGTGTGAGAAAGATTAGCATTAATAGTTGATACAATTAGCTCTTGTCTGAATTTGTCTAGTTGTGCTTCTTGGATATAGAGAAGAGTTTCCACGTTGCATAGTGAAGGAGCTTTAGTACTTCCATACATTTGCACAACAAAGGGATTGTATTCTTCGGAAAGACCATCGAGAATCGATTAAATTTGATCTAGTATAGAGATTGAGTCTACCACAACTAGAAGAGATTTTTCAATGGCTTTGATTCTCAGAATAAACTTAATGATAAACCTATTTCCTTTCTTTGTTGATTTTAGTTGAACACGGAATTGACGAACCCCAACCTTCATTTGGGCATTAAAGTGCTTATGAATTTAATCCCAAACTTCAAATGTGCGTTTACTGGAAAGGACTTAGTAAAACGAACTAAAAAAATGGCAGATAACAACCATATGAACACAACTTGACCTTGGACAATCCAAGATTCATACTCCTCATAAATCGTACTTGTTAGATGATCTTGCGTTATTTTTAATTTTTGAGGAATTTGCAGATTAACAACAAGCTTATGCATCTTTTATGTTAATATTACTCCTTCAACCTGTTGATTCCATAGTAAATAGTTGTTATCTTGTAATTTGATTGAAAGCTTTGGTCCAAAGGAATTATTGGAGTTAGATGTAGCAAAAATAGATGAAATTGCTCGAGATTAAGCTAAATCGTTGATAATCGAATCTTGATTTCTTTGCTGATTCCATTGTCAAGACTTGAACTAATCGAACCAATGCAAATCAGAAGAATTTGCAGTGAAGAAGAAGCAAATATGCAAAGTGATTAGGGAAACGCAGAAGATCGCAACTAGGGTTGGAAATGAATCGAGCCGTGTCGAACTCACCTCAGCTTGGCTCGACTCGTTAAAAAATGTCTCAGCTCAAATATCAGTTCGAGTTTGTCACAAACTTTTTTTCCAGCTCAAACTCGATTCGTTAGAAGCTCACGAACAACTCGATTCAACTCGTTAGGTTCAACTCGCTTGTTTCACGGACTTAAAAGACATTTTTAATGTCTATTTATATTTTTTATATATATTTGTCATTTTAAATTAATATTTTTTAAATAAAAATATAAAAATAAAATAAAAGTTCTAAGATTGGAATTTATATCATGTTAATTTTATTTGTATAATTATTTTTAAAAATATTTTGTTCACTTGAGAATATAAATTATCAATTGAAACAGTTAGAATAAAAGAAAAAGTTGGACTAAGATTTAGAGAAAATTTTTAAACTTACACTTAAAAACAATATAATACATCTCATATATAATTGAGTTGACTCATGAACCTAATGAGTCGAACTATGTATAATTCAAGTTCAGCTCATTTAATTAACGAACTTAGTTTTTAGCTCGTATTCAACTCATTTTATTCATAAATTTAGTTCAATGATTTAATTGTCAAACCAAATTCTAAACTATTTTTAAATTGGTTCGATTAATTGTTAGTTATAATTGCCATCAATAAATGATACATGAACTCTAAATAATTCATCATACTTTTGAATATAGAGAATGGAAATCAAAATGAATATCAAATATATTATCACTGAGGTGAATTGTTAGAATTGTGGAACTTAGCTTATATACATTACATAGGTAAATGCACTAAAAACAAGTATAATGTTAGCGAGAAAACTAAAGACTTCTGTTAGAAAACTAACAGCTAATTGTCTAACAAACTCTTCTACCATAAACAACTAATTATGTTAGTTGACCAGTTTCTAAAGGTTGAGTACTTCCAACTAGCTTAGCCAAGTATCTCTCTAACATAAAAATTTCAACAACTCATTAAATAAAAAAATTGAGTTTTTGAAAAATTCAAAACTGAAAAAAAAATCATCTTAAATGGTGTGTTAACCTTAAACCAATCAACACACAATTTTTTTAACACTTCGATAACCTATAATTTAGTTAGATACCAATACTCTCATCCAATTAGATAATTATCAGTATTCAATTACTTATCATAAATATTTAAAAAAATATTTTTTTTAATATTAAAAATCATATAATTTTGACTTTCATTATATAGAGATAAGTAAGAATAACCACTATCGTCAAAAACAATAATAATAACAATAATAATAATAATAATAATAATAATAATAAAAATAATAATAATAATAATAATAATAATAATAATAATAAAATATTGTTTTATCGTAAATATATTGCATTTTTAATTTTTATTATTATAATAATAAGGAAAAATAAATATTTTAAAGTCATCAAAAACTTGCATATAACAAATTAGAGCATCTGTTTTCCAACAAATTAGCTGAATTAAAATAATATATATAAAAAAAACATTCATGACTCACTTTCTAGAATAAAAGAAAGAGTAATTTATGAAATATTGTCTTATGGATAAATTTTATAGTATATATTTAAACGAGTCTAATAAAGTGTGATAAAAATATTTTTCTTTTGGTCCCAGAAGACAAATTTTCTGCCTCCACACTATAGCAACAACATATTTGTTATAGGTCAGTTTTACTCATTGGACAAACATGGTTGGACAGGGATAGATATATGCTATAATGACACGCAAACTATAATAATAATCAAGAGAAAATACCAATCAAGTTTCTCATATCCTTTCATACAACACAATAGAACTGGATTCAAATTGAAGTCATAAAAAACTAATGCATAAATAAGCAATTATTCTAAAACAAAGTTCTTCATCCAAAACAACTTCTGAATCTCTTTCTTGAACCTGCTTAACTATACCACTTCATTTTTCTCCACAACTCTCACTCCATTTGCTGATCTAACCACATTAGCCTGTTTCAAACCATAACAACTTGTTAATCAAGACAAGACAAGAAAAAAAAAAACATCATAAGTCAAATATATCAATCATACTACATTACTTGTTCCTCACTGATTTCCACTATGAAAGCATCAACAATAGCCAAAGATGTTATCTTGTTGTAGCTTCCTGCCTCTAAACTTCTTGCTAAAACCTCATCATGCTTTCTACTAAGGTACAAATCAAGCTCAATTGCCCCTCTCTCAGTTCTAAGCATAACACACACACACACAAAAAAAAAACATAAATGTTCAAATTAATAATCAACCATGTTTAAGAATGTTTATGTAACGTTAATCGAATGAAGACATACCGATTATTTTGAAGTCGATTGTATTCTCGATCATAGTTCATGAAGACACAATATTCACTTCTTGTGCTCCCCATTGAGAATGTTTTTTTTCTTTCTTTCTTGTGAGTTTGATTGGTGAAGGATATTTGTAATTGGAGTGTCCTGCTCCACAAGCTAGCTATTTATACAAGAAAAGTTTTCATGACTTTCCTAACCCCAACAATAATAGAGAAGAATAATGACCTGGCCCACATTGGTTCCATGTGTTTTTTTTTTCATACAACAAAAAAAAATAGTCTAAAAAAATTATTTTAGTCTAATATTTTATGTTTTTATGTGATTCTTTAAATTTGAATTCAAGATGTGTTAATTTTAAGATTACTTTGTCTAAAAAATATTATTTAAAGAAAATGATTTTCTTGTCCGATAAAGGAAAAACAGTAATATACTTCGAGAAGATTTAATAAAGAACGATGAAATTTTAAATCTGTGACTCGTCACGTATTTAACGTGTGAGTTTCGCCGCTAGTATTTTTGGAAGAAATTAAAGTAGCTTTCACAGTAGAGATCCAAATTTGAGCCTAGAAAGGTAAGGGTTGAAAGTTTCAAAATCATTGAAGTGTGAATGGACCATATTTTTAGTTGAGTAGAAACAGAATCAGTACACTATGATGCAGTAACAAAACAATCACATGATTTGTTTTCTCAATGCCCACTGTTTGTCAATTCTATACATAGATAAAAGGTTCAGGTTATCCGGGTTCGCAAAATCGGTTACATTAATAATTGTTAAATTAAAACCAGAATGTTGTCGATTTTAAATTTATTTACTTATTTTTTTTGAAAGAAAAAATCTATTTGAATTTTATACCGTCCAATATCGATAATATTCACGCAAAAACCCTAAACCCTAATGCAAGAAATGTATGAATGCTCAATTGTGTTTCAAGTTCAGTAGAAAAACTTGAGTTACAAGTCATTATACTAAATTTATATGCTTTAAAATTGACCTACTGAACTAAACTGATACTAAAACAGAACATTTTAACTATTTTTTTTTTTTTTGATAAAACTATTTTTGTATATATTCTAAAAAAGTAAACTCTATTTCTGTTTCTTTATATGAATAATAATAGTATAATAATAAGAATTTATTTTTTATATAATCTCAAAATTTAAATATTTAACACATCCAATCCATAATTGAATTATAAATTTAATAGTATTTTATGTGTCACGAAAGTTTAAGTTATAAGATCTTAACATTTTACTTGTTAAACTAAGTTACACCTTAAACTATAACACTTAATTAGTGGTAGTATTGAAACTAAACATCTTATTTTTATGTTAAAAATTAATCAAATTGTTGATAATAAATTAGTAGAAAAATAAATAAACAAAAAATAATATGTTAATTTTATTTAATCTAATTTTATTTTGACTAAAATAAATCAAAAGTAAAATAATTCTTTTATAAAAATTCTTGACATCCAACTAAAGACCGATTAATTAGAGAGATCAATTTCATCGATTATTTGCATGGGTCCAATTAAAGTTACAGTAAATTATAGAATAAAACTTAAATATAGTTCTTTATGTGATTTTTATTATTTTTTAATAAAAATATGATAAATATATAAATTTTTTTTACATATACAATTTTTTTCTTCTTTAAATAATATTTAAATACACTTGTCATATTTTTATTGAAAATAATAAAAATCATATCTAAAAAATTATATCAAAATTTTGTCCTAAATTATATATGAAATATAAATTGTGGGCATTTGTGAGATTTGAAAGCTTTTGGTTTCTCAGATAAGTTTTGCTCATGGATACATGCTATTTTATGTTAGTGCGTGAGACACTTTTAGTGAGAAGAGAAAAAGATAATAATAAAAGAAATAAAGATTTGTATTATTCAAGTGTACAAATAGTGATACATACTATAACTATTTATATACAACCTTAATTGGGCTTGGGCTAACACAACTTGGATTATATTAAATATTAAATCTAATCAAATCTAATCTAATCTAATTTAATATTTCAACACACCCCTATAATTCAAGTTGTCGAACATCCTCAAAAATAGTCAATCTGAACTATTCTTAATTTCTTTCTCAAATTCAGGAATATGTCGATCTTCAATTCTTTGGTGAAAATATCGGCCAATTGTGCTTCACTTGAGCAATGCCTAACTTCAAGTTCACCTTGATTTACTTTTTCCCTCAAGAAGTGAAACTTTGCTTCAATATGTTTACTTCTTCCATGCAGAACTGGATTCTTCGCCAGATTTATGGTTGACTTGTTGTCGATTTACAATACTAGAGGTTTCTTCACTTCGACAGTCATTTCTTCAAGTACAGATCTGATCCAAATTGCTTGACATGTAGCATAGGATCCCGCTATATATTCAGCTTCACACGATGACAATGCCACCACAGGTTGCTTCTTCGAACACCATGAGATTGGGGCACCAAATACTTGAAATAAATATCCAGTTGTGCATTTTCGATCTTCCTTATCTCCACACCAACCAGCATCTGAAAAACAATTAACTATTGCTTCTTTGCCTTCAGAATCTCGTCGAAATAGTATTCCACAATTTATTGAACCCTTCAAATATCGAATGATTCTTCTTGCAGCCTTCATATGTGACACTCGTGGTTCACCCATATATCTGCTTACTAATCCGACTGTGAAACCTATATCAGGTCGACTACTGCACACATACCTCAGAGATTCCACAATTTGCTTGAACAAAGTTGCATCGACTTTGTCTTCCTCTCCATTCTTCTCCAACTTCACATTTGGTTCGACAGGTGAGGATGCAGGATTCAAATCATCCATTCTGAATCTCTTGAGTATTTCTTTGACATACTTTCTTTGATGTAGCACCATACATTGCTTCGACATTTGAAATTCCATGCCTAGAAAATAAGACAATTTTCCTAGATCCGACATTTCAAATTCCTTTGTCATCAGCTCTTTGAACTTCGACAAGTTCTCCAAACTATTTCCAGTTACTAACAAGTCATCAACATACAAGCAGGTGATTGTTATATCTTGTTCGAATACTTCGTCCTTTCATTTGATCACATAGATCCACAACTTTCGACTAAACTCATCGACAAAGGAAATAAAATATATGTTTCCACCAATTGTATGTTCTTCAAATGGACCACATACATCTGAATGCACCACTTCGAGAATGCATGATGATCTTATTGACATAGTCGAAGCGAAAGAATTTCTGGATTGCTTTCCCACTAAACAACCTTCACAAAGTTTTTCAGGCATCTCAAGACTTGGAATACCAGTAACCATATCTTGAGTAATCAGTTGATTAAGTGATCGAAAATTCAAATGTCCAAACCTCAAATGCCACAACCAACTATCCTTGTGGTCGACAACAGTTTTCAAACATTGAACTTCTGTCGAACTGATCATAGTCTTAAATGTCCTGTTCTTCGACAATGGAGATTTTAAAATCAAATTGTTCTTAGTGTCGGACAATTTCAAAACTCCATCTTTCATGACAAATGAGAAACCTTTTTCAACTAGTTGTCCAACACTTAACAAGTTGCATTTAATTCCAGGTACATATAGCACATCTTTGATCATAGCTTTCCCTTCATTACTCTTTTGAAAGACTATGTTGCCAGTACCTTCTGCTTGCAACGAACTATTATCAGCAAGTTTTACCTTGCTCTTCTTCAACTCGTCAAAATCTGCTAACCACTCCTTTCGACCAGTCATGTGGTTCGAGCAACTTGATTCGAGAAACCAGATATTAGATTCAAAATGGTTATCTGCAACTGCATCCATAACCATCATATCGCCTTCAGAATCATCTGAATCTTGGCGTGCAAGGTTCGCTCCTTCGTCCTTGCCTTTCGATCTCTTATCTTTTTTGTACCAACAATTCTTGGCCAAGTGTCTCCACTTTTCACAGTTATAACACTACATACCTTTCTTATCTTCTTTGTCCTTTCGATAGTTTCCTCCTCCCCTTTTTGAGGATTCAGAAGATCTATCTTCGACCTTATTCTTATGAGAATTCGACCAAGACTTCTTGCCATGAGTCTTGTCGAACTTGCCTTTGAATTTGTTGGAACCACCATCTTTTTTCCATGATTGAGCTTGCAGTGCCTGTATCGAGTCCTAAAATCCTTTCCTTTCGACAATCCTCATCTCATGCGCCTCCAACGAACCAACCAAATCTTCCACTTTAGTGGTTTCAAGATTGTTGGATTCTTGAATAGCTACGATAACATGATCAAAGTGAGAGGTCAACATTCTTATTACCTTCTCAACTATTATCTTATCAGTAATGGTTTCACCACAACCCTTCATGAGATGGACGAGTTTCTGAATCTTCGAAACATATTCTGCAACCTTTTCATCTTCTCCCATCGACAACAACTCATATTGTCGATGCAAGGTTTGTAATTTGACAGCCTTGACTTTCTCACCTCCTTCGAAATAATTTACCATAATATCCCATGCCTCCTTCGCTGTTTCAGCATGAGAGATTCTGTCGAAGTTAGCAGCATCGACAACCGTTTGAACGCAATAAGCATCCTTGCAATCTTTTTTCTTGACTTCGTTGTGGGCTTTTTTCTGTTTGTTGGTTGCATTTGTAGCCAATGTCGGAACGCCGTCGGTAACCACTTCTAAGGTTTCATGGAAGCCAAATAAGGATTGCATCTGTTTTTTCCACCGGATCCAATTTTTACCGTCAAGCATTGGAAGAGAATTTGGAATGACCTTATCACTAGCCATCTTCGCAGCGGTTGATTTACTTGCCCTAGAAAAACGATCTCTGACGTGAAATTCTTGAAAACTTGATCAAGAACAATAACTGAAAGCTCTGGATACCAATTTGTTAGTGCGCGAGGCACTTTTAGTGAGGAGAGAAAGAGAGAATAATAAAGGAAATAAGGATTTGTATTATTCAAGTGTACAAATAATGATACACATTATGACTATTTATATACAACCCTAATTGAGCTTGGGCTAACACAACTTAGATTATATTAAATATTAAATCTAATCAAATCTAATCTAATCTAATTTAATATTTCAACAT